TCTAACTTCCCCAGGGAATGGAGGCCGAGGGGAAACTCCTCCGTGGGCTGCCCTCTCTCTATGTCTGTCTCTCTCTTCATCACCTCTGGGCAGTGTCTGATCCCACCCTCAGCCTTGAATCCTCTTCAGGACCCCCCCCCCCCGCCCTAATGTCCCCACACAGGCTCCAGATGTGGCAGGAAGAGACCAGCGCTCAGCAACTGCGCTGTGGACATGGGAGGCGACAGCTAGAACCTGCAGCAGGTGTGACAATGCGCTCCTGAAACTCAGCCCATACCCGGACCCCAACACCAGCCCAGTTGCCCCTGCCCCAGGCCTCAGCAGACGCAGCCCATCAACCACAGTCCTGCAGCCCCAGCACCAGCCTCACGTCCCCTGGTAAAATTTGAACCTATCCAAATCCAATCAAGGTGGGCGACTCAGGCCACGACACACAGTTGGGCTTTCTGGAACCTTCCGCAGACCCTGGCGTTGCCCCAGCATACACATGGGGGGACTGTGGGCACAGCTGCTGCTGGTGCCAAACACCCTGGGCCAAAACACCTCTCCACCACTAACTAGCACTGTCTAGCACTATCCTCCCGTTGTTCATCGATTTGCTCAAGTGGGCACCAGTAACGTCTTCATTTGTGAGACTTGCTGTTACTGCTTTTGGCATATTGAATACACTACGAGGAGATTGCTAGGCTTGCCGTGCGGGCAGGATACTCTCGGTAGCTTGCCAGGCTCTCTGAGAGGGGCAGAGGAATCGAACCCGGGTTGGCCGTGTGCAAGGCAAACGCTCTACCCACTGCTCTATCGCTCCAGCCCCCACCACTAACAGCAAGGGAAAAGTATTGGAACAGTGTGCACCTTGGTTTCTTCCCTCAGAATAAAGTACCTTCCTTGCTGCATTGTGAAGTAAAGTGAATTCATTAGAGATGAAGTAAATCACCATAAGTAACAGCATGTGGTAAGAACTAGGTGTGCACTCTAAGAGAGACAAGAGTACATACAGCTCATATCAGATAGACAGCATAATATAGTAATACCATACGCGTAATACGGTATGGCACTATGTGGTAAGAGCAGAAAGAAGAATATTCTGTATTCCGCAATCGTCTGGACACTAAGTAGTCAGGAAGGACAGAGGACAACCTCATCAGGAACAGACACCCCATACATATTTGCTAAAGGGATAGGAACCCCTCTATACTCTCCAATGCCTCATTATTGCCTCACTGCGGTCATGCAAGAGGCGTAGCAGTATCAGCAAACAGTGTTGAAGAGGATTATTACCATGGGCAGGGGACAGAGCTCAGGGAGCTGGACACATGCCTTTCACGTATAAGACCCTGGGTTCAATCCCCAGCACCAGATAAAGGCCCCCAAATAAAACAGATACTATTTTAATATTTTATTTTAAACAAGTACTCATTACTATCAGTCTAAACAGACAATTCTGAGGCTGGAGCGATAGCACAGCGAATAAGGTGTTTGCCTTGCACGTGGCCAACCCGGGTTCAATTCCCAGCATCCCATATGGTTCCCTGAGCACCACTAGGGGTAATTCCTGAATGCAGAGCCAGGAGTAACCCCTGTGTATCACCGGGTGTGACCCAAAAAGCAAAAAATAAATAAATAAACAGACAATTCTCCTCCACTTTCCTGACAAAGAAGCAAGTGAGGGGCTAGAGTGATAGCACAACGGATAGAGAGTTTGCCTTGCACATGGCTGACCCGGCTTTGATTCCCAGCATCCCATATGGTCCCCGGAGCACTGCCAGAAGTGATTCCTGAGTGCATGAGCCAGAGTAACCCCTGTGCATTGCCGGGTGTGACCCCCCCCCAAAAAAAAGCAGCAAGTGAAAGAATCTATACAAGAGGCCAAAAAGTGCGTGAAACGATGCTCAGCATCATTAACAATGATGGAAATGCAAATAAAAACCGTGACGAATTACTTGGACACAGCCACAAAAGACAGTAACAAGTGTCAGGAGAATGTCAGAGAATGCTATGAGGGACCAGTGGAATAGAACAGCAGGCACGGTGCTTGCCTTGCAGACAACTGACCAAGGTTCAATCATTGGCACCCCATATGGTCCCCTGAGCACCACTAGGAGTGGTCCCTGAGTGCAGAGCCAGGAGTAAGTCCTGAACACCAGCAGGTATGTGATAGCACAGCGGTAGGGCGCTCGCCTTACAAGCGGCCAACATGGCCGACCCGAGTTCGATTCCTCCGCCCCTCTCGGAAAGCCCGGCAAGCTACCGAGAGTATTCGATATGCCAGACACAGTAACAACAAAGTCTCCAATGGAGACGTTACTGGGCCCGCTCGAGCTCAAAAATAAACAAACAAAAACATAGATCCATGCAAAACCTGGCATATGAATATCTATAATCTCATTAACCAAACTAGCCAAAAGATGCAAAAACCTAAATGTTGATCAACTGATGAACAGATCAACTGATGAACAATTCCACTGATGAACAAATAAAATATGGTAATTCATATAGTTGAACATTATACAGCCAGGAAAAGGAATGAACTATGGATGTAACATGGATAAACCTTTAAAACATTGACATTAAAGCACAACTAATAGTATTTCTTAAAATATAAGAGTGGACAAAAATATCAATGGTTCATATTCCATTTTAGGAATGATGGAAATACTCTGATATAGATTACCATAATGGTTCTGGGATTCTAAAACAGTGACTTGGCACTGCACATGAGTGAATGTATAATACATGAATGATGACTATACTACACTTGATCTTAGCCAAAAGGCTGAGAAGCGATATGGTATGTGAATGCTATTTTGTAAACTGTATGATATTCATCAAAGAGAAGCAGGAGCCAGGATATGACTCAAAGGACAGGATATCGCCCAGGCCTTGTGGACATGCGCACAGAGGTCACTCTTGCAGAACAAGGTTGGGGGCGGGGAGAGCACTCTGCTGGCGACCAGCATCCAAGTGGCCAAGCACCAAAAAATCAATTAGTCCCACACGACCAGGCTGAGTATGCAGAAACTGATTTCTGGATCCCTTGAAATAGAAGGAGCTGTAGAACCAGCTCACGGTGGTGGACTTCAGGCACTGGCAACTTGGCACAGTGACACACAGCAAAGCTGAATATTCAAACTACTGTGGGGTGCTGCTGGAGCCGACCCAGGGTCCCAGCTAGGGAGGCCCCACAAAAATAAATAAAAGCAACTGAAGCAACAGTAAGAAATCTCTCTCTGTCTCTCTCTGTCTCTGTCTCTCTGTCTCTGTCTCTCTCTGTCTCTCTCTCTCTGTCTGTCTGTCTGTCTCTCTCTCTCTCTCTCTCTCTCTCTCTCTCTCTCTCTCTCTCTCTCTCTTTGGTTGTTAGGGAGCATTTAGTATTGAAACACTTTCTGTGTATTTCCTCATCACCTGGACTTCAGCAAAGGCAGGAGGACTTGTAAAAAGTTTGCTAGGAATGAGCCGAGGCAAGCTACCCACACAGAAGCTGCAGTGATATAGTACAGAGGGTCGGGTGCTTGCCATGCATGCAGCCCACCCGTGTTCGATTCCCAGCATCCTATATCGTCCACTAAGCACCGCCAGGAGTAATTCCTGAGTGCAGAGCCTGGAGTAACCTCTTAGCACCGCGGGAGTGGCCCGAAACAGAAACAAAACCTCCAGCAGACAGCAGAGGCTCATCTGCCTGTGTGTCCTGATTCACTGTGGAGTAACAGAGCAGTGCATTATTACTGATGGGCACAGACCTGAGTCTGTAGCACGGCTCGGGGGTAAAACTGCAGAGAAGATGGGAGACAAGACGTGTGGGCCCAGGCACTGGGGACGAGGGGGTGGCTCGCTCTGGTCCTCACTCAGGGAAAAGCACCCCCTCTTCCCCCCCCCCCCCTCCCGCGCTGATGCCCTGGTCTGGCCTGCGCGGCTCCATCCCGGCTCCATCCCGCTGGTGAAGTTCAAAAACCAAGTTAGTTCAGCCCATGGGACTGCCTATAAGGACCCTCAGCTTCAGGGCCGTCCACCCTTATTTTGTGCATAATCACTTCCTGATAGATGCTCCGGGAGAGGCCATCCACATCTCTAGACATAGGACCGGGGAGGCTGGAGCGGGGCTGGGGCACAGGGGCGCACTTTCAGGGGGAGGAGGTTGCACCTGGGCAGGGCCCAAAGCAAAGGGGGAGCAACGTCTCTGGGGTGGGGCCAGCTGGCTAGAGTTGAGTGGTCACTCGAACACGCACTGGGCGTGTGGGCTCCGAGATCCACCCAGAACTCGCGGTCACCAGGGTCGCAGGGAATATGCTGGGAAGCACAGCACGTGGGCAACACGGGTGTGTGGACAGGGCCGAGGAGGAGGTGCCTCGGGCGCGCGGGCAAGGAGGGAGGAGGAGGAGGAGGAGGAGGAGGAGGAGGAGGAGGAGGAGGAGGAGGAGGAGGAGGAGGAGGAGGAGGAGGAGGAGGAGGAGGAGGAGGAGGAGGAGGAGGAGGAGGAGGAGGAGGAGGAGGAGGAGGAGGAGGAGGAGCCCCGGGGGCGCAGGCAGGAAGGAGAAGGAGGAGGAGCCTCGGGCAAGCGGGCAGGGGCTGGGAGGAGCCCCGGGTGCCCCGACCCGAGGAAGGAGGAGGAGAAGGAGGAGCCCCGGGAGCAAGAGCAGAAGGGAGGAGAAGCCCCAGGGCGCGGGGGCTGGAGGGAGTGGAGAGGAGGAGGAAAAGGCGGCGGAGAAGCCCTGGGCGCGCGGGGAAGAGGACGGAGGATGAGCCTCGGGCGCGCGGGCAGGACCTGGGAGGAGCGGGCAGGAGTTGGAAAGGAGTCCCTGGCGCGCAGGCAGGAGGAAGAAGAACCCTGGGGAGGAATCCCGGGTGCGCGGGGCGGAGGGAGGAGGAGGAGGACGAGGAGGAGCCCTGGGGAGGAGTCCCGGGCGCACGGGGCGGAGCCGGGGGGTGGTCCGCCGGGAGGGAAAGGCCCGCGAGGAGGGAGGGCAGCGTGTGTGCCGCGGGCGCTGCCGCTCGGGGCGCGGTACCTGGAGTCGAACTTCTGCCCGTCGGGGAAGGTGCCCACGTAGTGGTAGCGCACGAAGTCGCCGCTGCGCACGCTGCGCGGGCACTCGTCGGGCACGAAGCGCCGCTCGATCTTCAGCTCGGGGTCGAGGGCCAGCCCCGCCACGGGCGCCGCCTGGCCGGTCACCCAGAGCAGCAGCAGGAGCAGCGGCGGCGGCGAGCGCCAGCCCCAGGCTCCCGTGTCCATCGCGGCGGAGGGCGCGGACCGGCGGCACCCTCGGCCTGCGCGCGCGGCTTGTGCAAACGTGGAAAGGGCTCCCGGCACTCCCGGCCGCCGCCGCCGCCCCCTCGCCCGCCCCCCGGGCCACATCCGATCCGGGGAGGAGCCGGGGCGGGTCCAGGGCCCGGCGGGGGGGCAGGCCCCGCGCGAGACTGAGTGGCCTGCGCCAGGCCCAAGCGCGTTGAAAAACGCTTTTGCAGCCCGGGTGCATCCCCCCCACCAAGTCCCCAGACGCCCGGGATTCCGCCCTGCAGGCGCCTACGTGGCGCCGGGTCCCGTTACCCCCGCTGCCTTGCGGAGGGAACTTCGATCTTTAGATCAGTTTTTACCTTTTAGGATAAACTCTTATCTTTGCGAGCGAAACCGGCCTTTGGGGGGTCTTGCCAAGTTTCCTTTGCGTGCTCAGGGGACCCCGGAAGCCTGTGCTCCTTGCGGAGGCGCTTCGGCCATGGAAACTCACCCGCCAAGTGGCTCTGCGGAGCAGAGACCCGCAGGGAATTGTGTCACTTTCCTACCGAAACTCAGTAAATCAGGGAGGACTTTCTCAGTTCAGTTTGGGCAGCAACCCTGATCCAAAACCTTGTCGAAGACAGGCAGAGAAAGAAAACACTTTCATGTATAGATACGTACACAAACGTATCGAGTCAAACATCAGCAAAGAGAATTCAACACATTTATCAAGTTAAAAAATCGTACTGCGAAGCTAGACTTCATGTCCTCTGTAAGATGAAGAGAAAATAATACAAGATTTGCGTAAGATCTCATGAGAAAAGGCATGCAGCATTTAAGAACTGTTTGATGCTGTGGATGTGGTTTAAGTTTAGAATTCAATCCCTAGTACCCGAAAAACTCTGGAACACCGACCTGGTCCAGTCACCCAGCCATCAGGCCTGCTCTGCTGGTAAGTGGCCCTTATTTTAAGAAAGAATATGCAGGCCCAGAGATGGCACAGCAGGTAAGCATCCTCGGATGGCCACCTGAACTTAAGCACATAGAAAATTACTGAGGGAAATGAATGCACTTATAAGGCTAAGCATGACTAAAAAACAAGCATGAGCAAACTGATCATTATTAAATCCGAGAAGATAATTAAATCCTTATATGTTAAAAAAAGTCACACATTTAAAAATAAAATGGCATGCTTTGGAAAACATCTGCAAATCTATAACAAATGCATAAGTATAAAAATAAACAGTATCTCTGTAACAGAGGGAAAACAAGGCTAACCCCCCCTCCCCCCCTTAGAAGTGGAGTCTAGGGACTGGAGCATTAGCATAGCCGTAGGGCCTTTACCTTGCACGTGGCCTACCCGGGTTTGATTCCGAGCATCCCATATGGTCCCCCAAGCACCGCCAGAAGTTATTCCTGAGTGCATGAGCCAGGGGTAACCCCTGTGCATCGCCGGGTGTAACCCAAAAAGCAAAAAAAATAAAGTGGATAGTGTTTTTTTATTTGGGGAGGGCCACACTCCGCAATGCTCAGGGGTTACTTCTGGCTCTATACCCAGAGATCACTCCTGATGGTATTCTGGGCACCATATGGGATGCTGGGGACAGGACCCAGGTCGGTTGTATGCAAAGCAAGCACTCTACCCACTGTGCTATCACTCCAATTCAAAAGTGGATAGTCTTGCCTCAGCAATATCATTTTTACCAACTTATGCCTAGAAAATAATTAAGATTGCATGCAAAGAGTCATCTATAAAAATATGCACTACAATATTATTAGTAATAGAGAAAAATAATCCAGTAATTGGGGACTGCTTTAATTATAATTCACACAACCATTAATAGTGTTTGCAAATATATTGATATGGAAAAGTTCTACCTTTCTACTTTTTTAACAATTTTTTTTTATTACATATCCATGACATAGACCATTACAAAGCTGTTCATCATTGGGTTTTAGTCATACAATGATCCAAAACCCATCCCTCCACCAGTGTATACTTCCCACCACCAATGTACCACCTTTGTTCAGGGCGTTAAGTATTTTTATTGGGAAGGTAAGGCTGGAGTAGTTTGGCAGCTTTGGGGTGTGGACATGACTGCCGAGGCTTCCAGAAGTACAGGGAGGTGGGGGGAGGTAGCCCATCCTGACCCGAGAAAGCCTGGAAATTTTACTCACAAAATTAGCAAACCCAATTTTCAGCAGATTATATCCCGGTGAGGTCCATCCCGAGACTGTGGACTCCAGCAGGGGCCATGGTGGTTATTTTGGATTGTAGAAGCAAGTGGCTGCTGGGGGTTCTGGTTGGGCAGGCACCAGACTGGTAAGCCCCGCTCCAATTTACCTCAGTCTGTTCAGCCTTTCGCAGGTCTGAAATTAATTGGTAGTGCTGGAGTTAGTTTGGGGGTGACTGCCAGTGCTTCCAGGAGTGTAGGGAAGTGGGGGGAGGTAGCCCATACCAACTCCTAGAAAGCCTGGAGATTTCAGTCACAAAACCCCACATATCAAAATTTTCAACAGGTTAATATTTCTGTGAGATCCATCCTGAGGTGGTGAACTCTGACTGGGAGTCAGGTCACAATTTGGATTGTGGGAGCAAGTGACTGACAGGGGCTCTGCTTGGGTGGGCACCAGGCTGACCCACCCTCGCCCCTTCCAATTTACCCTGGTCTGTTCAGCCTTGCTCCATCCAAGATTAATTGCAGCATTTGATCTCTTTCAAGATTTATGGGTCTCTGAAGCAAGGCCAACAAATGAGCTTATATAGCTGAGCCATAGGTGATTTGTGGGTGGGGGTCCCACATACCTAACTTTTGGCCATTTAATTTCTCAGGAAACTTGGTTCCAAGTTGTTGGGATCTGGCCGGAAGCACAGCGGCAATTTCGAGTATCTGGAAGCCTGAGGACACCATCAGGCTGCTGATGCACTTGCCCAGCAGGTACAGGTTGACCTATTGGCAGCACCATACCCCCTACTTTTCTACTTTTTATAAGTATGTTAGTTAGAAAGTGATAGACTACAATTCTGTGTAAACATAAATTATGAAAGTATAGAAATTTGGGGGCAGAGGGATAGTACAGTGGGTAGGGCACTTGCCCTGCATGTGACAGACTGGTTTTGATTCCCAGCATCCCACAAGGTCCCCCTAGCACCACCAGGAGTAATTCTTGAGTACAGAGCCCAGAGTAATCCCTGAGCATCACCGGCTATGTAAGAAAAAGGAAAAAAAAGAAGAAAATACAGAAATTTTTGTTGAGAGATATAATTATAAATATAATGATGATGGAGTTAAAATTCTTTGTAAATTTTCTGAGCTTTTGTAGCAAATTTCATATACAATAAAATACTTTTAATGGACCCTGAAATGATGCTTTTATAAGAATATAAAATTATGTAATGATTGTGTCTGGAGAGATAGTGCAGGGGCTAAGGTGATTGCCTTGCATGCAGCTAACCTAGATTTGATCCCCAACACCCTGTGTGGTCCCCGAAGAAGTGCTCAGGGATTCCCCCTGGTTCTGTGCTCAGAGATCACTTGGAGGTCCCTGGGTGTGACTCCAAAACAAAAAATCAAATCAAATGAAAATTTAATGGTAAGGAAAAGTATTCAAAATATACTACATAATATGTGAGAAATCTGGTTTCTGGTTAATATTTACATCATCTTATTTAAAAGTATGTGTATGGGGCCAGAGAGATTTTATAGAAGATAAAGTGTTTGTTTTGCATGTGCCCCCCCCCCCCCAGGTTCAAACCCAACAGCCCATATAGTCCCTGCACTGTCTGGAGTGATCCCTGAGCACAGAGCCAAGAATAACCCCTGAACATCACTGGGTGTAGTCCAAAAACAAAAACAAAAACACCTATATAAAATTCTGAAAGTTTGTATTTGGAATATTAGTATTTCTATTAAAAAATAACTGAGGGGCATTTGCGGTGTTTCCATGAGTATCAGTTCTATGCTTTTGCATTACTACGCTATGGGGCTTGATATACTATTTTGCATGTGAACTTGTGTTTTATTTCTCTTAGACATACACAACTAATGTATTGGTTATATACAATCTACAGATAGTGTGCATTAGTTAGGAATATTCTACTTGTGAACTCACCTAACATATATTTGTAACCCTCCTGGAAGTTTTAACACTACTGCCCAAAATCTTAGCGACCTGATGTTCACTTTCCTAGCTGAGCTCAAATTGTGTTTATCTTTGTTTCAGGCCTCATTTTAGAAACAGGTGTCCCTTTTGCAGTAGATTTGATGTCACATCTGTCATTTATTTATTCCTTTTGCTGCTGTTCAAAGTGGTACCTGAGCATAGAATGCAAGCCCAGAGCCTGTGAGACCCTTGGTTCCTTCCCTGGCCCCGATGCCTCACCCCAAGCACAGCTGGGGCTGCCTCGGTAGCCCGGATGGCTCTGAGTTCTGCAGGGATAGACACCAAAGGTCTAACTGGGAAAAGCATTCCCAGAAGTGGCTTCCTTAAAAATTAAATAACTAAAAATAAAGTAGGAAATGAAATGGCTCATACCTCTTAGAGAAAACAAATAAGCTTTGTCCAAGCATGAGTCACAGAGCCACTGACCATGAATCACGGTGAATGAAGTAAGCATATACATTAATAAGGCATCTCTGCCATATTACCATACACAAACAAGCTTACGTGTTCATCATTTAACAAACATATTGCAGTCAGGGGCTGGAGAGATAGTCCAGTAGGTAAGGCACTTGCCTTGCACGCAGCCAACCTAGGTTCAATCCCCGGCATCCCATATGTTTCCCCTGAGCACCGCCAGGAGAGATTCTTGAGTGCAGAGCCAGGGGTAACCCAGGTATGGCCCAAAACCAGATACACAAATAAGAAATATTATGGCAAAAGCCTCACAGCCTTACCCTGCATTTCCCCTGTGAGCAATGAGTAGCCCGATTTTCGTGTTCACGCGGACATCGCTGGCCAGTTTCTGGAATCACAAGAGCCGAACCTAGAGTAGAGTTGATAGGTCACTGGGAATGGGGAGCAGCCCAGAGGTTGGACGCCAAGCTTTCTATGCAGGAGCCCACACTGGACGCCAGCACCTGCCAGCTGCCGGACCACAGGGTGCCCCAGGCACCCC